AGTGACTAAAGGGAAAGGGAGTTCTGAGAAAAAGCCTGTTAAAATGTGCACTAACAAATCAGGGATAGCACTGAGAGCCTCAGTAATCAGACTTACATAAGAGAGGGGTTTAGAGAGTATAACGTGTAACTAATGGAGATATTTGCAAATTAATGCTCATGTTTGTTCGGTTTGCCCTCATAAGGATTGGATTCATGACTGTGAGTGAAGGTGTGACTTTAAGGTTAGGTATAGACTAATTCCCCAAGAAGCGAACCCGCCTGACTGAAAATCAAACCTCAGGCAGTGATAGTACATGCCTCACAACTTGGTATATTTCTGTGAATACAGATTTGAAAAGGTGCAGTAAAGTCGCCGTTAAAGTTTTATCCTCTAGAATAATGCTACAAAAATGCATTTCAAATGCTTATTAATAAACTAAAGAAATACACGTAACATCCAAGCGGCAACCTCCGGTGTGAAGCCAATGCGGAAGTGTAATATGTTGCAGTTCATCTAGTGTCCACTTGGACTGGCTGCAGAAGCACTAGAAGTCACATACACACCCATACAAAAAAGCCAGCTTTCACAGCAGAAATTAAAGTCTTTACAGCCTGGTTCAAAAAACTTAATTGGTCTGATTAGCTCATGCCATGATCAGCAAAAAATGTACAGCGGAGGGCGAGTTTTTTTGATAACTCATCCGTTTTGATTTTATGAAGAAGAAGTGTTGTTCACAATATAGCCCATAGCTGACCTGATTGACAGGCGGTGCGATGTAACGGGTTGTTCCAGCTCTTACCCCTTCGTTGGCTTGACTGAAAGTTAGGGTGAGACAAGCATTTCTAGCACGGCCAACAAAGGACTCCAAAGCGCTCAGCAGTACCAGATGGGTGATGTCACTCAGGTTTCGTCCATTAATATTTACAGTCTATGATGACATACGATAAGATGAGATCAATTTTGTTGTTCTTCCATTGGGGGAAATGTGGTTGTTACAACAGCTCCAAAAAAAGAGGAGTACAATCAGCAAAAAGTTATAAACAAACATATTTAAAGTAATTAGATATAAGAAGGAAAATACGGCAGTAATAAAATAGTAGAAATATACTCTATGTAAACTTTTGCTTCTGAAAAGGCAGAGAACAATTATTTAAAAAACAAAAAATCACACACAGTGTATCGTCCAGCCCCAAGAGGCCACTTGGAATAACTGCATTTTTCTAAATCATTTTTTTTCCCTCGGAGGCTGCTTGACTTTACATTGTGTTTATTGGATTGTTAAAAACATGATTTCAAATAAATACTAACACTGATCCGTTTCCCTCTGCTGTTATCAGAGGCAGTTAACACACCCTTCATATAAGTTTACCTATAGGGAAACATTGTTTCATGCAGGTTTCATTTTACTTATAATATAACTTACTGAAGAAAATTACAGTTTGATTAAATTGGAAGAGCAAATATCTGGCAAATCATAAAGCAATTTCCTTTAAATGATCCTAAGACATGCTTTGTATTTGTTTGCTCGTAGTTTTAAACATTTGTAGCATATTAACATATTGCACCGTTCTTTGCAATCTATTGATTTCCTGTGTTAAGAAACATTAGCCGGTACCTCAAACATTGCATCATCTGATAAACCTTGTGGCTCGTTTAGTCTTTTCAGTTTACCTGCTTGATCTTCTCGGTTTAAGCATGTCTTCTGTTCTCATCCCAAGTTTTCAGATACGGTCAAATGATGATGTATCCTCCTTCTAGAGTCATTTCTGGATACTCCTTTGAATTTTCCTTATGATGTAGCTTTGAATTCAGGTTGCCAAGTATGAAGACCAGAACAGTTAGCTGTGGTTGGTCATCAGGGTAAGATGGGTTAAACAAACACTGGACATCTTGTTCACCTATATCCGATCTATAGTTACATTGCTTATTAGTGAAGTAAATTATTGTGGATTAGTTAGTTAGCTTCATCATGATACAACAGCTGTTTACATACTTACAGACTGAAGCTAAGGTTTGCAACCACATTTTACAGATTGTTCAAGTTAAATGTCAAATATCTGTCAATCGTGAGACTTGTCAGCAGACTTTATTTGAATAGAACTACATGATGCCTATTTATTTTCACTACTTTGTCTGCTTTTTAAGCCTATTTTGTAAGCTTGAATGCAGAAACCTACATGTTGGAAATGAACTCTTATAAATATGTTTTACTCTAATGAATGTGTTTGGCACAAATATTCTCTTTTGGTTGAACAACGTTTTGATTATCTTAGGATACACGCCATATTAAAACTGAACACACACACACACACACACACACACACACACACACACACACACACACACACACAGTAAGACAGAGAACAAGACATTTGAAATGGTCATTTCCTTCCTGGCTCTATTGCTTTATGATAAATGATGGATAGTTGGTCACCCATGCCTGCCCAAGCAGTACAGGTAAGTGTTTCCCTCTAAGCCTGAAGCAACTCTTGATCAGTGGTCCGCGTCTGCAACCCTCGCCCACACCTCTCTCTCTCATCTCCCTGGGGGGGGGCTGCTGTTCACCACAGAGTGCCTCCTGCTTAATGCTGGATGTGACAGAGCCCATCGCACGGTGGGATTCAAGGGAGAGGAGGAATGGAGGGCTTCGGGGGCCGACACAATTTGCAGGTTTCATTGCAGGCATGAGTGACCGGACCGTCCCCCCTTCAAACCTGACCGCTGAATGATTCATGATGAGAAAAGCAAGGGGTGGGGGTGAGGTGTGTGTGTTATTGCATCATGGCTGTGTCTGGGCCTCTCTGGTGAGTGCTGTATTCTTAACCCTGACACGCATGAGGGAGGCTGGGGGAGGAGGAGGGGAGGTGGTGGGCCGTGTTTGTGTTGGAGGCAAATAAGCACAAACACACACGGCTAAAGGAGGAGGCAAATGTTAATAATACAAGCAATAAATCAGGATTACACATGCACACACACTCCTGGCACCAATGGTTACAAAGAAAGCTGGGTGTGGCTGTGGGTTTAGGGGGGTTGCAGTAAGGGTATCCCCACTGGAAAAGCCCTGAACACAACCTGCCCCTCCCCCTCTGTCACCTTATACATAATTAAGACATGTCGAGAGGCATTGTGGGTTAAAGGGAAGATTATTCAAAGCTGTGTATGGTCCCAAACTCTGTGTAGAGTGAGCCAGACTGATTTTGCAGCTTTTCTTTTCAGAGATGTTCCAATTTTCCACCCAGAATGCGTCAATTTAACAAGTCTCTTGAAATGAAAGCTCACTCAATCCTACAAACAGCTTGAAGATGCTAACAGGGAGATAAGAAGTGGAGTGGTGCATGCCTTAGAGGAGCTAGTTAAGAGGAGGCGCCATCTTTTATTGATTCAGGCATTAATGTACATTATGTACAAATTGGTCAAGGGTGGCCCCCGTCTTGTGAAGCCTACCGCTGCACAAACCAATTTGGAGCATTTGTTTCAATATCTACCTTGTGCTCACATCCGGACGTAAGCTGTAACTCCAATTTACTGATGAATACATTTTCTTTGTTTAATTCTTCTTGTTTCGTATATATAGAGATTTTTTAGTCTCAAAGGAGAAATGTGTGAATATCTGCATGTCAGGAGGACTCAGCATGACTTTCTTGGTGACGACTGAAGAAGAAGAAGTGAGGGAGTGAGATAAATAAAGAATAGAGTTGTTATATATCACACAGGTAGCTCAAACCCTGACAATCGACAAACTGTCAGCCTTTTCATAGCAACAGGGCACACTCTTATGAATCAACATCCTCAGGGAGGAAACAAGGGTTTAAGTCTCAGAATGTGTTTGTGCATGTGTTTTTAAGTTTTTCAGGGTTATTTGTTGTTTAAATGTAATTTATCACATTAATTCATATTGCCAGTGACTGCTTGCATCGTGGAGAAACATACAGTGTGCATTTGTGTTTCCTGTGTTCTGCAGGCAGTGTGTCTTTGTGAACACTAAAGTGAAGTGTAACGTAGAACCCAAATACAGAACCAACTCAAGTCCCGTCTGTGCAAACGCACTCTTTAACATGTACACACACATACACAAATCCACACACACTCATCCCCTCTCGCTCCCTTTCCACACATCCAAACACACTTGACACATGCGTATACATAACCATGTCCCTTTGTGGACGGTTGCCATGCAACATTTCTCTGATTGGGTTAGTTGAGCTCTGCTGCATGTGCACTCACACACACACACAGTTGCTGGCTGATGAGGATCAGATCACACACACACTCCTTCGCCACACCCATCCTCCTCTCCCAGGGGACACAGCTGCACTTCCAAGGCCAAGGATGAAGAGATCGAGGAGGGAGAGTTGGCTGATCCTGGAGGAGGATGTGCTGCTCGGTCCAGGGTCGCAGCTTCTGCTCATGATCTCCTCTGAGGTTTTAGACCATCCTTTGGTTTGAATTCCAGGAGCAATTTCTTGGGCTCAATCAACCTTTTTCTCATTTTTTTTTTTTTAAAACCAGTTACTTGATATTCTTGTACCCCTTTGAAATGTCATTATATGATAAGGTTTGATCCAAAAAATACCCAAAGTCCATCTACCTTTGCTTTTTTGTTTTTATTTTTTAAATGGTCATTTGTCTTGCTGATAAGTCAGCTGTTGCAGTAATGCCTTAAGTTTTCAAGATGTTCTGTTTTACGCCTGCTGAGATGACTTTGAAGAGATAAGTTTGACTTGACGAGACTTCAGGGCAACATAAACCTATAGAAAAAAAATATAAATCATTTTGTTTTGCTGCCGGATGTCTAACCAGTTTGCTGTCCCTGCTTTGACACAAATTGTAAACCTCATACTCATGTACACTCAGCTTTAGTAAAGCTATTATTAATCTTGGTTCTTATGTAAGCTGAGAAACCAGGCTGCCATCAAGATCTGTGACGAGGCCACAAGTTGCTCTCTACTTCCTTTTTTTTCTCCACAACACGTGTATCTTCTTAAAAAGTAATCAAGGATTAGACATTGATTAGAAAATGTTGTTGTTTACAAAAATTTATTCATACAAATCTTACAACACTTTCATGACATTGAGAAACGTAAAACCCCATAGAAGGACTGTGTGGATAACGATGTCACTTGTACTAAGGTTCACTTTTCAAACACATAGTTTTCAGATAGATAAGAGATTAAACATTGAAGTAAGGCGTTTGGCGCTTTCAGAAATATCAACAACAGGCATTTTTTTATGATCTGAACAACATCGCAGTCATGGTCTCAAACCCTTTAATCCTACATAGTGATGCACAGAATATGTTAGGGGTTTTTCTGATTAATAATAAATTACTGACCAATATCAAATTAACAACACCTCATAATCGACAGGAACAATCACTGGTCATTGTTCACAACTCGCACGGACACTGAACACCCCGAAACCCATGCGCACACGCATACACACACACTTACACACACATATTGCTTGCTCCATCAACAAATACATTCGACTCTTTTTTTTTTTTTTTTTTATTATTTTATTTTATTTTTTAACTCCATGAATCGTTGGCCATGCTTTACAAAGAACGTCTAATTCTACTACTCTCGGGGCAGACTAAGCCGAGCAATTAAACAGACTTAAAAAGAAAAGGAAGTTTCAATGTAAGCTAATGGACTGCAGCATTGTAGGGCCACTAAAAATTGCCATCTGTCACTTGTGGCGAATTTTATCTTGGTTTTTTTTTTCTCACGTCAAAGCAAGGCACCAAAGCCAAAAGCTGTTTCCGCCCCCTCATGCGCGTTCAGACAGTCGCTCATTCACACAGACAGACGTTCAATGCACACACACACACACACACACACACACACGCTCACAAACTACGGTGCAAACATCTACACATTCACACAAAGCCTGAAAGCCAAATTGAAGAGTGTATTGATAGTTTCTACGTGGGAACGCAGGCCACAGATTGGATTGCAGGGGTGTTTAAAGCTGCATTTGCATAATATTGAATAAATACCTTAGACTACACTGGCTTTAATTCACCTCCCTTTTAATCTGAGGTGGTTGGGCTCTGTGATCTATGTGGCCTCGTCAAGCTTCACGTGTACACTTAATGTCTTTCTGACAAAACAAAAGGAAGGGAATTCAACATCTGATATGCCCTATCAGACTCATTGACCCTGATCCCACTCTGTTTGTCCCTGTATTGCACCTCTCTCAGACCTTCCTCTTATGTAACAGCTTTTTGTCTTACACACACGCACTCTAATACTTCTTCGCTTCCTCACTCTATCACCTGACAATCGTCTCATCTCTTTGTCACATCCTCGCTGCACACACCTCAGTATACACCTAACACATATCAGCTTTGTTGGTACAAAGAACCACAGCACTAAAATCAACAATTTAGCACAGTAGTCTAGAAGAAAACATCTCGTAAAAGAAAGGAAAAACACCAGGACAAAGGCAAAAAAAAGGGGGGTCCAGTGTCTCGTCTTATTACATCCACATGACAGCAGCAGGAGAGGTAGAAAGAAAAAAAAAAATCAACAAGTCAGTGCAGTACCAGTTTCCACCACCTCTAGCCCTCCTTTTTCACATTCCCAACACATCTGAGGAGGAGGGGAGTGGTGTTGAAATAGGCCTGGCGCAGCCTACCTCCCAAGTAGCACAATCCAAAAGAAAGCACGATGGCATGCAGTTTCTGAGCAAAAAATTGGTCCAGATGTCAGTCTCCGCATGCACCGATAAATATGACATACTAATCCTAACTCTGATGCTACCTTTCCTCTTCACCTCTTCACAATAAAATGTTTTGTTTCCCGCATCTTACATGGTCTGGGTCTTTTCTGAGTTTCTGTAAAGCCTCCCAAACACAATCAACAGTTGGAGCACATTCTTCCATATAATAATCCTGTTGTCTGACAACATTGAGATGTGCACTGTGTAATTTCTTAACTGTACATACACACACACACACACACACACACATATGGAACATTCTTTACACGAGTATGATTAATCTCCTGCAGTAAAATGACTTTGAGGCAAGTGAGCAAGCAGTGTTCGCCGCATACTCCTAACAGCAACTTGAGTGCTTCCTCTCTGTTTTGTAAAGGCAATGTGACGCCCTTGGAAAAAGCCTGTGATTAATTTGTGTTTAAAAAGAGAACTGGATTTTCTTTTTAAACACCAGTTACACCAATCACTGTGCAAGTCAATCAGTTATCCGTCAAATAAGAGGCTGTGCAACAAAAGCCATCCGGATTCCCCTGGAGGGGGCAGCAAGCTCTACAAACCCACAGAGCTCCCATTAAAGGGAGCCAGGAGGAGGAGGAGAAGGAGGGTGGACAAGGGCAAAGCATCTATCATTTAGGGATAAGCTGGATATGCCTCACAGAGCATGCTCACTGCTTCTTTGGGCCTGTTTTTTCTCTTCTTTTTTTGTGAAAACAAACAACACTAAAAAAATAGAACGTTGGTTACAAAAATAAGTATAACATTCAATACTTTGATTGTCTTTTTAAAATTTATTTTCTGCATATGTAGATGACTTTTTAAAGATTTCAAGCGCATAACGTTGAAGGTGCACAACTATCTTTTTCTGATTTATTTCTTTTCCTTTTTTTTTTTGTTTGTTTTTGATTTCAACATCCTAACATGAAAATAAAATATTGGTCCACAAAGTATAACTGTGTGGTATCAAGTGCTTTTGTACAAAAAGAAAAAAAAACGATATTATTATTAAAATATTCATTTTAATGGCTTTACTTCATACATAAATACATGTTGAAAGAACACAGGCGCAATCCACTGGTTGGTCAGATATATCTGAATGACTTTGATTTAACGACTGGATGTATTTACACAGGAGGGCAGTTTGGGCGCTTTGACGACGCTACAAATAGGTGAGCCGGCGTCCTTTGTTCCTAACTCTCTGTCTGTACCTTCTTCCCAGCACCGCTGCCAGGTATTTCTGCGCCGCCTTCTGCTTTCTATAGCGGCTGTAGCTGTCGGTGAAGATCCCATCTGAATGTCTTTTGGATAGGGGCTCTGACTCTTCCTCCATACTGGTGTCTTCACTGTAAAAATAAAAAAAACAACAAACAAAAAACACAAGTTAAAACTGCAACATTCCATTTCTCCACATATTTATGCTCTTTTTAAATTATGACTTTAATTAATCTTTTCATTTTTGCCTTGATGCAAAGTGCCTAAAATGTATTAAACTGCTTTTTGTTGGCCTTTTACGCGTTAATATTTCGTTTAAAAATATGCAACAAGCAAGACAGTGGAACAGAAACTGTGATTTAAGCGTTTTATAAAACGTATAAATTATTCATCTTGCAGCCCATTGCATATTCTGACGCATGATTCCTCATTAGCGCAAGAAAAAAATCAATTTATAGATTGACCACATATAAATCGCAGTGAATATTAGTCTCAGACCTTTTTGTCCCTAGGGGAGCACAGTTATGAACGCAGAGCCACGCCACAACAAAAACACAAACCATGAAAATGCCAGACGGTTATTTTTTATATAACGAAGGATGAAAAAATAAAAATAAATGAATCACTCACATGAAATAATAAGACAGCGATTCAGCAGCCGTGACATGAAACAGATGATGATGACTGCAGGTGAACGCGTAAAAGAAATGCCCTTACCCTGCACGAATTGTCATCAGAGAATGCAGATAATGTCTCGCTGTTAACTGACCCAGGATCTCCCTCAAGGCTCTATCTAATTCTTCCTCAGCATGCCTTTCTGCTCTGAGATGATAAAACGCCAAAAACACATAGATCATCAGTGACTAAAAAAAAAAGCGCAGACACAATGATCAAAAGTAGCTTAAAATGTTCCCCTCCACCCTCCCGTAGCACCAGAATCACATCAGGTGCAAGCCTTTTCTTGCAAACATTTATCCGTTTTTAAATGGATTATTAACAGTATTTGATGCAACATTTTAGGCTACTCGGCATGAAAATAACACAGAACAAATAACATGAGAAACTCTGGGATAAAACAAAGCAAGCAAACATTATCGCAGTCATTATCCAGTGATCTGATAAAGGCACATTTACCTCTTTTCAGGCGGGTAGTAGAGGGTGTACGCGTCGTCGTTTAAGGATGGAGGGCTTCGTATAGCAATCTGATCGCTATCAAACCCCATGTCGGATAATGAGTTCCCATCTTCATCGAAGGCGTCGTTTTCAAGTCTGCAGGGAAAAAGAGGAGACAGAGCATTGATCACAAATCTGATCTGTGCACGAGCCCGAGTGAAAGAATGCCAAAATGTCTGCGTCCGTTTCTAAAATCAGTGGGAGGTTATAGATGCATTGGAAATATGGGAGGAAAACGAAAATAAAAATGCAATGATTTTTTTTATTTTTTAAACGAGTTAAAAAAATTGAGCACAATAAATAATAACCTTATATTCATTAAATACGTTAAGCTTGATTTTCTGTTTCTTTAAAAAAAAAAAAATGATCGCGAAATCTGTCTTTTATTCCAACTTGATGCTGCTTCCCTTAACGTACAGCCTCATTAATTATTAAGGACTGGGAAACAATGGGTGTGAAAATGATCACATTCGATGCAGGCATGGGGCCAAAAATTGGATTAAAAAAAGAATGCTGCAATTAGCGGAGAAAATTTAGAATCAATAAGAACCACGCCCAAATTATGGATATGCTTTACACGGAGAGGGAGGGTGAGAGAGGGGGGAAAAAGATAAATCTTAAATGGCTAGAGCTCTATTCGGTTTTGCCTCGCCTCTCCTTGGTGACGCCAGTCCACCGTCATCCCGAGGGCTATCCATTGCAACGACTGCACTCTCATTTTTAATAAGGGGAGTTCTGTGTAACGTCCCACCGGACAGATACCTCTACGCAATTTCAAATGCAATTTTCCACACACGCATTTATGCATTTTGAAAACACGTAATTACCTTTTCCCTCGCCAAATTCAATTATTTAAAATTACGCGCACATTTTCGTGCGCAATTACGCATACTTATTTGAAATAAAAGAACCAGATCCAATTTCTTAAATAATACTTTCTGGGGGGGGAAAAAAATCAAAATGCACTATGAACACAAATGATTTGCAGAAGCATTTATCATCGAGTAATAAAAAAAAGTATATTTAAATCAGAGTACAATGATACATATAAAGCGCTCCCACCTACCTAATCTTAGGGTAACTTAGTCCGAGAGGTGTGCAGAAGACGCTGTAGTGCATTAAGATTCCGTAGATGAGCAAGATTAAAGTGGATTTGCTCGAACTGGCCATGCTGTTAGGACATGAAAGAAAAACATGACACATGTTAGTAACTCCCAGGAACAACATGCTCGCTCTTTGTTCTGTCTAATTCATACGCTGTGCTTACTTCTCTCACTACAAACTACAAAGCTGGATTGAAAAAAAAAGAACTGATTAAACAAAGCTTCCAGTGTAGATTTCTCTTGTGTTTTTAGAAAAATCCCATTTCGTAAAAGTTTAAATATTAGCAGAGAATCCTTTGCATGCAGCGCCAAAGTAACCAAACCCAGCAGACCTCCATGCAGTGCAAAAAAAAAAAGAAAAAAGGAGAATAATTTCCATTACTTTATCTCGTTCTCCATTCAAGAATCTCGACGAGTTTTAAGAGAATCCGTGGATAAAGCACGTACCTATAGCAGGGGAGCAGGGAGAGCGCGGAGTGCTGTGCTGGAGGATGTGATCCGGGCGCGGCTGTGCTGCTAGTGAGTGTATGTCTGTGTGAAAAGAGGGAGACGGTATCTTTCTCACGGCACTTCTTTCCTGGCTGAAGCGCCTCCGTCGTCTCCTTGTGTTGCCCTCCGTGCAGCCGCCTCTCTCACTTTTTATACACAGATAATAAGACTCAAGCAGCCGGAACAAAAAACTCAGGAGGAAAAGTGCGCCGTGTCCTCGTCTACATATCGGTGCTCTAAACTTTTTTGTCCTGCGCTGTGATTGCCTTGGATTTTTATCCATGCATCGTAAGCCTTGCCCCCCCCCTCCTCCCTCTACTCCTCACCTCCCCTCCACCTCCTCCTCCCTCCAATAAGTCACACTAAGGATGCTATAGACGTCATCAAGTCTGCCTCCCGGAATATAAAAGTACAGTTCCTTCCTCATCGATGCATCCGTCAAACCCTCCCCCCCCCCCCCTAAAATGGAAGTTTACCTCTAAACTTTTTTTTAAACAAAAAAAAAAAAGTGAAAAGAGATAGTTGTGAATGCACTCACGGATTAATCACCGGATTTTGTGACTGCCGACACAAATCAATTTGTCCCACACCAAAACCGAGACCACATGTGTGCCCCCCCCCCCCCCCCACACACACACACACACACACACACACACACACGCGTCATCAATAAGTCCAATTAGGCTTTTATGATCATGACTGAGCTGGGAAATGACCATCCTCCCTTGACTGTGGTGGTTTCGTGTGACTCGAGGACTTTAATGGAAGTAAAGGGTGTGTATCAGTGTATGTGGTGGTTGGGGGGGGGGGAGAGATCAGGCTTCCGATGACCAAGTTGAAGGCCTCTGGGGACTCGGGAGCTGTCCGGTGCTGAAATGAATACTCTCGAGTTGCGGCTTTTCTTGTATTTACAGTAACTTTTCTTTCCTAATAACTTCCAATAATTGCTCACTTGATTGATATCGGCTTTAATGGCCGTGCAATGACAACGCTCAGGCCTCTCTGCAGATCTGTTGGATAGTTGAAAGAAGCGAGGCACGTAATGTGATTTGAACACGGACTGGTGACGCAGGATGCCGCTTCAGAAAGCTGTCATAGAGCCTACGTGGCTCTTTAAACGATTCACGCATTCTCGCAGACATTATTCTGGTGATCTTTTTAATGTGATATTGTACTGATTGATGCGCTCGAACGAAAAAAACAAGAGGAAAGTCTCTAAGTGGTAGGCTATATGCAGAATGTGGCATTCACCTATGAGGAGCATTGGGGCCTTTTTCCTTCGCCTCACACTGGGTCGATAAAGTCAAATTTCGAGATTTTCTTTTTAAACATGTACGTCTACTTTCAACTCTCTGTAATGTTTGTCTTATTATTTTGTTAAAAAAATTGAAGCTCAATAAAATCCAAGCGTTTCTTTTAATTTCTCATAAAACTGATGTTTTACAGCAGATTACGAGTCTTATAATATAAAGGCGTACGCCTGTGTAAGAATCTAATTTTGTAATCCTATAAGGGCCTTGTCACAGTCATCAACACGAGGTCATATCGCTGTACAACACTGAATCAGTTCTATAGTTCATCTTCCAATTCAAGAGTTTGCCAAAGAGGCGAGAGATCCACGTCAGCGTTTTTGTTTACTCTGACGCAATATGACGAACAGGGCCAGTCATTGCAGGAGGGGACGAGGGGGGCTATCCACAACTTCTTTCTTTTCCTCTTTCTTGTGCTAGGAAGAGAACAACTTAAAGCCCATATGGGTTAACTGGAGCAGACAGCAGATATCAGGCCTGTTACGGCAGGTGGAGATGCAGCTCAGTAGGATGAACACAGAGCGCCATCATGAGGAGAGAAGAAAAACGCATGTTCATTCTTCTTGCACATGGGGGGAAGGGAATAGGTGAGGGAATACTCTCACATTTTTAGTGGTCACCAGCCAAACAACCAGAAGCAAAAACAGATGTGTTTCTACAGCACTAGAAATCTTATTTTTCTCCCTTCTTCCCTTCAGGGATTGTCATTCTGATGAGAATGTATTTTACTCTAAATATATATATTTCTGTCTATGACCTTTAATAAATCAGCTCTTTTGCGAACATAGAGTTGGCCTAGTCATAGAATTTGCTCTTTGTTAGTTACTTGCTTTTATTCATAACTAGCATGTTTGTTTTGATTTTAGAAAATTTGACTGAAGGGGAAGTTATTGTGCTGTATTGGGACATTTGAATTGTTTTCAAGTCATCTCATTACACCCTTTGGATTTAGTTAGTAGTTTATAGTTTTAAAAATAGGCAGTGGTTCCCAGTCTGTCTGGTTTTCACTCATTAAAACGTAGCAGCATTGCTTTTATGACTTTTGGCAAGAGTCATAACCTCCTTCTGAAAATCTCAGATTGTTTGACGTTAGAGACCTAAAGATGCAACCACATCAATAGGCCTACATAAACGAAGAAAATGTCTAAAAAAAAATAGATATAGTCACATTTTTCAACCGATATGAAGCAATAGAGGCCTGGGGAAAAAAAGGGTTGAAACAATACATAAACATTGACTATACTGGAACACTTTATTTAGATTATGGTCTTTTTTGGTTGTACAATCAATCATTAGAGTAAAGAATACGTGTCGAGAGCAAACATTCAAATGTGTGTATGTTTATGACTTCATTGTGTCGTTTTATTTTGGCAATCTTAATTTCTTAATTTGTGACACATCATTTTTATCTTCTTCCCGTGTGTGTGTGTGTGTGTGTGTGTGTGTGTGTGTGTGTGTGTGTGTGTGTGTGAAGCCTCTTCTCTTTTCAGGAGACCTCCCTCCAGGGAACATAGGAGCGGCCTGCGCACAGTGCAGTCGGAGTCAGTAGGGGTCAGCAAATCACTTCAAAAATCTCTGTAGCAGGCGCTCTCACACATTTTCCTCCTGCAGTCAAATGGCAATGCAGGTAGCTATCGTTTTGGCTGATAAAAGTTGTTTTTTATGTGCATCCCACTCTCTTATTCTGGCTTTTTATTATCACTTTGCAGCCCATAGCAAACAAACCACTGTCCCACTATATTCTTTTATAAATGTTATATGAACTTAAACATCAACAAAGTTCAATATTTTTTTCGAACACCAATAGTTAACTTCATGCGTGTATTGGTATTTACTGGTAATAGAAGTAAAGAATGTATCATTTATCCTTTATTTGACCTAGAGGGCGCCAGATGCTTGCCCATTGTGATTGAGGTTCATAGGTTAAAGGGACGATATGACGTCATATGTACGTCTTTAATGATAAAACTTGCAAATATTTTTATTTAATTTTAATTCACTGATTCAATGGAAAAAAAAGAAAAGAGCTTTATCGGTTTGTTTCAGGGCCAGATGGTGGATTTCTTTCCCCCCAATCTGAGCCAACAAAGTCCGCCATATTGGGCACAAGGGAAAACCATTCATGATGTGACGTTCAAGTGCTCTCAGAAAATAATCGGATATAGAGGCATGTGTTCTTGACAAACCTTGAAAACGAAGTCTAAATTTCCTCACACTTTGTCCTAGAAGGCTGGTTGCGTGTAGATGTTTTTACGAGATTAAAATAAATACATGAAACGTGTCATAGTCCTTTTTGTACTATGCAGCTGCTCTGATCGTAAACGAGTAGTTAATTTAAATGCCACAGCTTTGATGGCTGTAATATGTAAATTTTCTAAATGTTGAAAAGTTAGAAGTTATTATCTCATGTTTCACAGATTTCACAGATTTGTGAGTGAATATATTTGTTTTTTTGTACCATTTTGTCTTTAAAGAAGACATTAGTGTAGGCCTTAGTCTAATAATTAACGGATAGGCCCACCTGATATTAAGAAAATGGTTAGCTGCAGCCATAATTTATACACATTTGGATATAAAGAGTCCGGTAGATAAAATGCAATTTCGACTTTTTATTATCGTTGCTTTTTGTAGGACAATGTTGAAAAATCTTATATTTAACAAGCACATAGGTAATGCTACAGTTTACGGTGTTCTCGTGTGGTCATGTTATTGTTTAAGCCTTGATGGTTTTAATTCACTGTATACGTGTTTTAGGATCAGTTGATGCTAACAAAGCAAGATGTACGAGTCTTCTCTGAGTACCTGAACGCGGCATTGTTCCTTCTTTGGCCTCGTCGGCTCCTCGGTGCTAGTTCGGCTATTGTTGTGTGTCTTTCAGGGCAACCCTGACCTATCAGCAGGCGGTGATTTGTGGATATTTTAACTGTTTTGCTTAGCTCTCATCCCGCCTGATTAAGCAGCCTTTTGTCGGCTGACGGCGCGTTTTCATTTTAGCAGAATATAAAGGATCCCAGCGGAGGAGGCTGCTGAAGTAGTAAATCGGTATGGGACAGAGGGAAGACTGAGATTGTCCAGTGCATTGGTCGGCTGTTTCCACTTCTTTGGATTTCCTACGTAAAAAAACGAAACGTGGGGGAGAAAACATCACAGGACGTATGTAGCCGAAGAACGACACTGCAAAAGTCGCTTTTAAGGTAAGAAATACTCGCCAGGGAAAGTCACATTTTGCCTGAGAAGTAGTGAGCTGGGCCTCGTAGTCACTTGGAGAAAGTTGGGATAAGGAATCACGAGAGTTTCCTTCATGTGCTACATTGTTACAAAACATATTTTACGTTGTTTTTCATGGGACAGGAACGTACTTTTAGGGTAGTTTAGTTTTAAAATTTAATGTAAGGAAAACATTATGAAAAACCAGGAACGAGCCAATAATACTGCATTTAAAGCTATTTATATAAACCGTCAACTTAACAGGATGACCACGAAACCCCTTTTTGTAGCCTGTAGAGCATTTCTTAAAAAGTTTTTATTTTAGATTTCCACAAGTTTACTACCTACCATTCCCTTTCTCACTGCCTCACCCAATCTCTCTCTCTCTCTCTCTCTCTCACACACACACACACTCACACTCAGCTGCTCTAGGCCTCAGCTGTTCAAGGCCTTTATTGCAATGCATATTGTTTCACAAGAGATGAAATCTGTTAACCTTCTTTCTTTCTTTTTAAAGTTTTTTTCAACCCTCCTCTTGAATGTTTTTAGTGTGGCAGTGCAGCTGTACTCTACAGGTTTGCACTCACTAAAACATTGATGTGTGTGAGAAGAAGTAATGATGTAATGTTGCTTTAGTGTGTGTGTGTGTGTGTGTGGGGCTACAAATTCACTGTCCCTGACTGTGCATGGGTCTGTCCGGGTACTTATGCACTCGGGTGCCACAGTAATCCTCCTCGATGCTAATCCCTCTGTTAGTGCTGCCTAAATTGGTTGGACAGTCGTGTCGCACACACGCACACACACACAGCTGGAATGGAGAGGGGCTGTTGGCAGAGGAGTGAGGCGCACTAACAGGTGGTGTTGGCAGGGATTCAGCGACTTGAGTTTAACTGCAGACATTAAGGATCCTCTCATAGTCCTCAAGTGTCCTCATGGCACGAATGAGACTCTACAATGTCATTTCAGTTTGCTGATTAAAAGCTTAGAAGTCAAACTCATTACGTGACACACACTCTCATGCTAACAAACTGGATGAATGTTTGGACTTGTGTCGACCGAAAGAGAAAATCAGTCTTCAGAAAGACTGCAGTCAGTGATGAGGGAGAACAAGAGAACAAGAAGAGCTCTTATATTTTATAGCTTGTAGATGGCTCATTCTCTTTCCCAGCTTCACTCCAGTCTTTGACAGCCACAGCAGGTGGGCTCAGTGGCTTGAATGGATTCGGAAGGAAGTTCCCCTCTCTCCCTCCCCCCCCGTGGCCCCCTCTGCTTACAGTGATCGGCAGAGATGGCAGGCTGCCCTGAAGATAAGGCCGGGCTGCGCCTCTGAAAGTGTGCCAGGGAAATTACTGTGCTACGCTTCAGTAATGGTTTGCAGCCCTGGGTACGATCTCCTCTCTGTGAGGAAAGTGTTTACAGTGCAAGTGTTTCGACTTGGCTCTCGGGCTCACACACTGGATTTATCTCTCATAGCAGAAGCAAGATCGCATTGTTAGATTTCACATGCTGCAGTTTGGCTTAGCTATGTGTAGAAATGCTCAAGAGCATCCTCGTGGCTCTTTTTCGTTGTGTTGAAATGAATACAAGGAATTGTAGCTCATCATCATTGTAGTGATTAAAAATCTTCTCAGTGAAGCAGAAAGGCTAACGGCTAAACTGGTTTCACGTTCTCAAATTTTACAATTAGCTACTTTTCTAAGGGTAATGTTGTGAAACTAAGATTTTTTTGTGCGGTACACAAAGTCATTACTACTTACTCTATGGGATTGTGATTTCCTTCCTTCACTATTTTCCTATTACAAGCATTCTCTGTAAATAGCCTCAGCCATCCTGAAACATACTATTTTTTTTTTAATCAATGGTATGTGTAGTTCAACACATTCATAAAAAAAGAAAAATCAGTTTTATTGCATAACATGGAGATCCCACCAGTGGCATGAATGGAGTAAATGGTCATGCACCAGTCGCAGGATGAAAGCATCAAGATGACCCCCTCTGGCTTGCGGTGAATTTTTGAACACTAATGGTCAAAGCACCATCAGTGTTGTTACCTGACTCTTAATTGTCATACCAAAATTACATCTATTTCAGTACTGTATTCTGAGATGTAAAAACCTCAGAATCAGAAATCCTTTATTAATCCCAGGGGGAAATTCATGCTGTTACAACTGTAACAGGCAGCTTGCGCGGTTTGTGCTAGTGCACTCATTTTGAACCTGGTTGAATACCTAACTTCACCCAGTCTGATTATCCTGCCGTCCTTGACAAATTGTTGTGACAGCCTGCCTTTTCCTCATCCTTTGTAGCACTGATGTTGTGTGGGACAATAGAACCGCTCTACAAAGGACCACACCTGCCCACGTCCCGCTGTAACGTTGAATGTGTTCAGAGGTTCCTCAGATGTGACGACCTTGAAAGCAATAGTAGCCGTCCACTGAAAATAATCATAGGACCTTAAACTGGGACAACAAAGCAATGGATTGAAACGAATGCTCAATGAGACAGACTTTTACAGACCTGTAAAAATGTGAAGATGTTTCTTTTTTCTTATCTTTCATTAGAAAGTTTTGGACATGTGGTGTTTTTGCATATTTCTAATTCATATTGCCATCTGATGTCTCATTGCCCTTCAGCAAAAGTTTGGCCAGGTTAGACTGTTTTGCAGACGACTTTGCGTGGTCATTTAGGGACAAGAGTTTAGCCTGGACAGACAAGCATCTATCCTTTTGTAAGGAGAAAGCTATATCTGTTTTGTTAACTGAGTGATTGATAGTTTCTGTTGCTGTGATATCAACTAAGTTGTTGATCAGTATGCATGCTTACAATGCTTTCAAAGCTTGATCCAAATTGACATTGTATCTCCTCTCTTGATCCTTGCTTGTGTTGTACTTACTCTCTGATGTACGCCACTTTGGATAAAACTGTCTGCTAAATGAAATGTAGAATGATAGAATGAACTATCTGATCAAAGAATAGATCAAGATCAAATGTAGTAAAGTTGGACAAATGAATAAATATAAATCCTGTGCTGTATATCCTAAATATAATCTCTTAACGAAGGTGTCAGTTTGGTCCCCGGTGATCAAAAAAGTTACATAAGTCAGTAGCTCAAAGGTCGGTTGGCCTCTCCCAGTACTGCAGAGTTGCATCTTATCTGAGGAGTCACACCGATAACCAGAGTTCAGAGCTTTGTAATGTTTGATCAACACATATCTAGAGAGGTCACTCTTTTCTGTGGTATCTTGTAATGCCAGGTTTAATAAGCTTTCTCCCAAAAAATAGTGTCAATACTATGATCTATTTAGGCCTTTAAAGAGGGTATACCTCTGTAACTGCTGCATTATGCTAATATTACAAATAAAAGACATGAGTTGGCCCTAAAACACTTCAGACCTACAGGCCTGGTTAGGCATTGTGCTGGGATTTTCTTTTCCACTCAAATGTCGCCTGCATGCCAGCCACTGCAAAAGCTTCCCTCCTGCAGCTCTCCTGCATTGTTGTTATTCAGGCCTGTGTGAAGCAGGAGCCTGTGTCTCCTTAATCTGACACGGCATCACTGGCAGTCTGGCACTCAGCCTCACATGTGACATGTCCTTGGATGGGGTCTGGCTCCAGCAATTTGTTTGAACACATACCACAGGCTTTTGTGTTATAGTTATAAGCGTATACAGTAAGCAGAGAGAGCTGTGAGCAAAGTCTGTCTCCTGTGTGTGAGCACATTTCAGATGTACTTTTGTCACTGTATGACAGAGCAGTGTTTACTGCGTTCCCTTGGAGCCTCTGAAAGAATGGTGCATTCCTCCAGCTAATCTCATTGTGTGTTAAACAGCCTCATTTAGGAAACCATCTGAGAGAGGGTAAAATAGTCAGCCTGTAATTTGATGTGCTGTGGAGTCAATTAGAGGCATCATTCGTTTTCGTAAATTTGTCACACGAGGAAGTAAAGCGGAGGCGGTGATCATTCATCTTCAACACTGATATTATCTCCTTTTAATTTATCAGTTTATGTAGTTTCCTGGAAGGGTTTGCCTTGTTTTTTCTTTTCAGAGAGTGAGGGTTGAATGAAAGATGAAAAGCATGGTGGAATCCCCCACACTGCCAGAATAATCAAAAACAAGTGTTTTTACTCAATGGTCTGCATTGTAAAACCTGCCCATTCACAGTGGCTGTACTTGTAAATATATTCCTGACTATTAACTCTGTTTGTTTTTTTACTTGATGTTTTGATTGATGGTTGGCTTTCTGACTCCATTCTTGTAAGCACAGCGTCTTCAGCCTTATTAGCATTTGTGCTGCTTGGTGTTAGCATGTGTATGGCTCAGAGGATTGTGAGTGTGCTGTGCTCCGTGGGGGAGCAGCACATGGTACTTTCTCTTTGCACATAACAAAAGGTAGATGGGACTAACAAAAGAATAAATGGGAAGCCTTTCTCTGTCATATTAAACAGGGAGAGTTGGGAGAACAGTTCTCCATGGGTGGTTTCAAAGATGCCTTTCAAAAGAACTAAAGCTGAAGCTAGAGGATTGAGTATGTTTAAAATGATGTCTTGATAATTTGTTGATTTTTTTTTTTTTTTTTTTAGGGGATTTTGTACCAGAGGCAGCAGCAACATGTCAGTCACTCACTGAGCAAGAAGCTGATTGTGCCTTTAAAAGCACCAAAAAGTAACTGATAATAAAAACAAGATCTTTTCATGGAAGAGCCTGACCAATACATTTTTGGGCTGATGTTTTCGCTCATTGGGGATATAACAGTATCAGCCCATGTGGTGTCTGATATTTGCCAAAATTTAAACTTGTCTTAAGCTTTTGCAGATTTAAGAATGATGTCAATATTGCATACTTTTCTATTCGACTGCAGGACTAACCTTGTATCCTTTGCCAGAGAAGAAAGGATTCCAAGTCAAACTTGAAGGTTATGGATAATGTGCCAACACTGTTGGCCTTGCTCAGGATTGTGATCGTCATGGCTATTTCAGGAGATAATC